GATGAAGATAATACCATTTTGCTGGAGAACAAAGGATAGTTGTGCATAAAAAATTGTAATTACTAGTTATTATCATATCCTTATAGTTATCCTATTTCTTATATCCTCTATCTTATATACTTCTTATATATTTCAATTTCATTGTGTTTTATTGCTTTTTATTTCTTTCTTTCTAATGCCAAATCAATAAATGATAGTTGATAGAAACACCCATAAATGAAGAAAGTATTTCTAGGAAAACTCAAGTCTAAGAAATTATGAAGAAAATAAGGTGCAGGATATATCACTGAGTTTTGGCAAAAAATGAATTTAAAAAGAAGAGAACATGTTGTCTTTTAAAAAGAAAAAAGAGAAGGCAAATGAGGCTTGAATTTAATTAAACATGAAGGAAAGAAACCTCTAGATGGAAAGTGATTGAGATCAAATCTTCCTCTCTTAGCATGTTCAAAGATCAATAAAAAACTTCTTCTCTTATAAAATATGATTTTAAGCATTATGTTGTGATGCTTACAGATCTTCTGAAAACCATAAAATTATAAGCTCTCAACTCCTGTTAAAATTAGTTAACATATGAGAACATACAGGTAAAACTACTGAAACATGGCATGTTAATCAAATGTCTAGATTCCAAAATTAGTACCTGATTTACACTAATACACAACGTCAACGTTTTGTTGTTAAAGTCTAACAAGACTATCATTTCCCTCCAGAAAGGAAGTGAACACGTTCGAGACTGCTAAACTACTTCTATACAACAACAACTAAGCCTCAAACTCAAGCAAGTTGGGATCGACTACATGAATCATTACTATCCATGTCGTCATAAGAGTCTGTGCCAGTCTAACATTATTGAAAATAATAATAAGGTTTGGTATCCTCTTTTATTGCTTCACTTGTTTCTTCCATGACGTTAATTCAGAAGGGATCAAGTCCTCATTACATGAAAGAATAGCCTGTGCCATCAGTTTTCCAAGCAAAGCATGGTAGAACAAGCCCATGGAACCAAGCCCTGTAAATAACCAGTACTTACATTCTGTTGGGCCGCCAATGAATTGGGCCGCCAATGAATTCATCTACACAACCCAAGAGTGTAAGTGATCCTTCTGCAGTGAGTGGTATATATATATATATATATATATATATATATATATATATATATATATATATGTATGTGTATTTATATATATATACACACAATTTTTGCACTTTTATACAAGCGCTTGCCAGTGAAATTATACAGAAGTGATGTTCCTATCAGCTAGTTATACAATTTGATGCTCCACAATTATGTAGACTATAACTATAACATATAAATATGTTTTTTTTTTAATGTAAAAGTTGCTCTATAATAATTCTTCAATAGTCATATGATAAGATCACGTAAGAGTTGGATAAATTTTTATAATTTTAACAAATTATGAGGTTTAATGTTTATAAAAAATAAATACAACTTAATAAATTTAAATTGAAGTCTAAAAAAATTTTTAATTTCAAATCAATATAATTTCAAACCATTGATATATTTGAAAATCATATCCAACCCTTATTGATAACCTTAAAGAATTTTTATGCTACTTACGATATTTAAAACAAAAATTCAAAATCATATCCAAACATGATATTACGATTATAATATCTAAGATTTTTTTTTTATAATTTGTATTTGCAGCAACTTTCATTTTCATGCTTTATCTTAATTATTGATTAGTTTATGTATTGATAAAAAGGGTGTTAAAATTCTTTTAGCTCCTAATATTACACTACCGAATCTCTAATCCTTTGCTTGCTTGCATTGATGATCACTAATGGTTGTTTCAAATACGATTGTTGATTGACATGACTTCTAATTCTTTGAAGTAAATTATCATGTGAACGAATTAATATCAATACATAGGTTAAGACATAAATCTTGTACTACTCCATTGTAATAGTATGAAACTTGACACTTTTCACAAACAATAACTATCCATAATAAGAGAAATCCCTTATCATTAAGACTTACATGTATATAAAAATATTATTAACTATCGAATTAAGTCTCGACTTTTAATTTCACTCAATCTGTAGTGAAGAAAATTTTATACTTTTTTTTTTTACAAATATGACCTTCCCCTATAATTTTTATTTATTTTATATAATATAATATATAAAAAAAAAGACTAAAGATATAAATTTCGGGAGTTTGGTAGGAAATGACATTGTCAGCATTTTTTCAAAAGGTGCACCTGAGAAAACCCACTGCTCGAAGTAAGAATTTTCCCTTTTCGTCTTCCGCTTAGTCAACTTGAAGTCAATCAACTGCTTTTTCTGCCGCCGGTTCTTCCTCCACCGCCGATCAACTCTGCACCGTCGCTGCCGCCATCATGAGTGGCGGCGGATATGAGAATGGCGCCACCAGTTCACCAAGTGCTGAACCTTCACTTATCACAAACCAGCTTTCCGTACTGTCAATCAATGACGACGAACATTCCTCTGTTTCAGTTGAGAAAGATCCTAGAAAAATCGCTAGAAAGTAAGTTCCTTTGAGTTTCTCTCCTAAAAGTTTCAATTCAATGAATGTGGATTGTGGAGTATGAGTGCTCTGTTCTACTTTGTCCTTGTGTGTGCGAAACTGAATAGAAGTATAAATTTTTGGCAATTATATGTGTATACACACAGTGAATTGAGAATGTTAGTAACTTAGTTTGTTGGTCTGCTTGTTGGGGGAGGGTTGGATTCCCTACATTGTAAATTGGAATTCCTTTGCCCTACCCACATTTTTCAAAAAATAAATAAAAATTGAGTTGTGCTACTGTTTGTGAGAAATTTACAGAGAGAGATCAAAAATGATCAATTATTTTTGGCTTTAGATTCAAATTCATTCTTTATATTTCACACGAAGCACTAGTGGTCCTCCATGATTGAATTATTGGAGCACTATAAGTTCCCTCCTGACCTGTTATTTTTATAGGCTCAACTCTGTAGGATCACCTTATTATGCATTGAAGCTACAGTCCTGAAACAAAAGTTTTAAACTTGTAAGTTGAGAAGGGTAGGGAGGGTCTATTATCCCTGAGTTCCAAGTGTTGCTGGTTGTTCCAAGTATTACACATTATATGAGTTTTGCGATTGGTTCTAACACTTGGGACATAGGTTCGGGCACTGCGCCATGCGAACTAAGCCTGACATTAAGTTGAGAAGGGTAGAGATGCAGGTCAATTATTCCCGAGTTTCGGAAATAATTGATATCGAAGAGAAGATGAGACAATGCTATTGAATAGATTCTATACTTTCTCTTGAACCCTACTATTATTTGATTAGATCATCAAATCTTTTATTTCTGTTGGAATCTCTACAATGTTCAGTTCTACACATATCTACTTTTTTTTCGAGGTATACAACAATTATGTGGTATGGGAGTTACAAACCGTGTGAAAGTTAATAGTATTACTATAACGAATAGCTTGCAATATTGCATTGCTTCTAATATTGGTACCTTTATTGTGACTTTTGCTCGTTGCATACCTTGATCCGCTACTATATAGATAACGTTTGTTGCTGCGGTTTCAGCAGCAACAATGAACCTTTTCTCGTACCTTTGAATCTAAAAGTAGCCGAGGACCAAGAAACTACTCGACCCCGTACATTTGTAACAATGACAGTGGTATTATTAAACTTGCTTGACTATGAATAACTCCTTTAGTATTCTACGTGAACCACTGCATCTATTCCCGTATAAATAAAATCTCACCATTCATTGGTAATGAATTGATACGCAAACTAGATATATAGAAAGCTTATGATCATCTAAATTGGGGCTTTCTTATTCAGATGATGGAAAAGATGGGGTTCGGAGCTAGATGGATCAAATGGATTAAGCACTGTATTAGTACAGAAAATTCTCAGTCTTGATAAACAGGACACCAAATGGCTTTTTTCCTTTTCATAGAGGATTAAGGCAAGGTGACCCTTGTCATTGTTCTTATTTATTCTAGCAATGGAGGGCTTGAGTAGCTTACTGCACACAAATAAAGTGAAGGGATGAATAGAGGTTTCCAAACTGGTGACGTAAATAGTTTGGAGATCACTCATTTGCAATATGCAGACGATACCCTAATTTTTTGCGATGCAGTGGAAGAACATATTTTGATTCTAAGGTCTATCTTCATTATCTTTGAAGCTGTGTCAGTTGCATATTAATCGGAAGAAAAGCTTTATATATCCCATAAATGAAGTTGGGGAACTGGAAAGCTTGGCCACAAAGCTAGGAGGGACAGTGGGGAACCTCCTAACTACATATTTGGGTATGCCTTAGGGGCAAATAGCAACTCCATAGCAATATGGAACGGTGTACTAGAGAAATCTGAGAAGAAGTTGTCAAATTGGAAGAGTCAATACCTGTCGGGAGGAGGAAGACTCACCTTGGGGAACAGTGTATTAGATGCACTGCCTGCATACACGATGTCTGTCTTCCCAACACCAGCAAATGTGATAACAAGAATTGACAAAATCAGAAGAGATTTCTTTTGGCAAGGCACTGAAGACAAAAAGAAATTCCACCTAGTTAAATGGGACGATGTGATAGTGGGAAAGAAAGCAGGAGGGATTGGAATGAGAAACATAAAAGCACAATTTGAGTCTATGATAAAATGGCTGTGGAAGTTTGCAACAAATGATAACATGTTGTGGAAGGAAGTCATTATTGCCAAATATGGGATGGAAGATAACTGGACAACAAACATGGTCTCCATACCATACAACTGCATAGTTTGGAGAGCTATCAGAAATTTATGGCCTTTGCTGAAGAGAAAAATTAATTACAAAGTAGGTAATTGAGAAAAGATTTCTTTTTGGAATGATAACTGGATAGGGGTAGGGGGTGCACCACTACAACATCAATTTCCAGATCTCCACAACCTTTGTATTCTTCAACAGGCCACTGTTGCACCACTGTTGCAGAGATGTGGACCGGACAAGGATGAAACCTAAACTTTAGGAGAAACCTGAATGATTGGGAATTGGGAAGAGTAGCAACTTTTTATACCATTATGGCTAGCTTCAACTATCTATATGAAGAAACGGATACCATAGTATGGAAGAAAGAAAGGAACGATATTTTCTCTGTGACCTTAGCCTATAGAGAATTGAATAGATCAAATCATAGGGAGGAAAACTGGTCATGGAAGATGATATGGAAGACCAAGATCCCATACAAAGTTAATTATTTTATATGGCTGCTGGCTAAGGAATCAGTACTGACACATGACAATTTGAACGAAAGGAAATTTCAACTATATTCAAGATGCTTCTTATGTGGGGAACAAGTGGAGACAATTAGCCATCTCTTCTTGCACTGCAAAGGGATGGAATAGCTTAGGAGGATGTTCATTAGCTTGACAAAATAAATTGGGTAAAGCCAGGGAGCATCAGAGGAGTCTTAATAGTTGGAATGGTGATGGTAATGCAGCAACAGAGGAGAAGAGATGGAAGATTGTCCCAGCATGCATATGGTGGACCGTATGGAAAGATAGAAATCAGAGGTGTTTTGAAGACAAGCAGATTGGACTTCAGAGCTTCAAGATGAATTGTCTTAAGTTATTTTATTTTTGGTGTAAGATGGTTGGGCAACTTTAGCTTGAAAAGTATCTTTCCAGAGATGCACGACTTGGCAGTGGATAAACAAGTGAGTGAGTTGAGTTTTTAACACAGCATGGATGGAATTTTCAGTTTAGAAGGATTTTTAATGATTGGGAAATCGAGACCGTGACTGATTTTTTTGGAAGGCTGGAAGGTTTTACAGGAACTGATGAATATGATAGATTATGGTGGAGCAGAAATAACAAAGGCACATTCAAGGTAAACTCTGCATATAAGTTGCTAAATTAAGATAGACAAGAATCTTCTCTTTGGCCTTGGAAGCAGATTTGGAAACCTAAAATCCCTTTCAAGGTGTCATGTTTCACTTGGCTTCTGGCATGAGAAGCAATTTTAACACATGAACATCTCAAGAAAAGGAAGTTCTCCATGTATTCTAGATGCTATTTATGTGGGGAAGAGGTTTAGACAGTCAATCATCTGTTCTCCAGTGCAGAATAACATCCCATCTATGGTGGATTTTCATTAGGCTCAGGGTTTTGCTTGGGCTATGCCTAACGGAATCATACATCTTTTATACAGTTGGGGAGAAGTAGGGGTGGGAGCTGCAGATAGAGATAGATGGAGAATTGTCCCAGCCTATATCTGGTGGACTGTTTGGAAAGAAAGAAATGCTAGATGTTTTGAGAGCAAGAGTTGTCATCTTCAAAAAATCAAACTAAATTGTATCAGGCTTTTTTGTTTCTGGTGCAAGCAAATGTATTTAGAGGACACGGAATCCATTATAGATATCCTAGGTTCCTGTTAGGATTCTGATTCAGTTTTCTTACTTTTTGACAAGCTGTAAATATGGTTTAGTGCAACCCAAGTACTGGTTTCAATGAATATACACAATGTTACCTTCTCAAAAAAAAAATGTTGGCTGAGAACTGTTCTGGTGATACTCTTCTATTTGAGAAATTCCCCGACTTATATACATTATATATTTACCATCAGCAAGAGTTGCGCTATAGTTTTCTACTAGTCTTCTGGTGTATGGATCTTATATTGAGAAAAAGTTTTAATATTCAACAGATATAAGATTCTTTACTTTGGAAGGTTTTTAGCATTTTCTGTCAGGGCATGCTGCA